TCCTTGGTCATATGACCTGATCACCTGGCTAGGCTGAGTAAGCAAGATGTTCTAGCAGGTTCCACCACAGAGGTATAAATATAAGGCCTACTCTGCCTGGGGACTGTCTCTTCAGACTTGGTCTCTTAGGATCATCCACAGATACCTATACTGTAGATAGGTCTTAGTCATCAGGTCTACTCCACTTCCTTGTTGCCTGCTTAGACTCTTGGCACTCTTAGGTGAGCAGACTTAGTCAGCCTGTGTTGCCCTAACAGATAAACACAATTCAGTTGTCAAGGTGTTGGGCAGAGGGGGTCCTTGGCATCTCTATTTTGGGCTCAGTGTCCTCAACTGTGGATTGGAGGTAAGCAGGATAGGAGAGTCCCAGGCACTGCTCATGGTCTATGTTGGGCAGGTTCAGAGCATCCGAGGAAGTCAGGGGACAGCAGGAGAGACCATCTGGACCAGTGTGTTTTTCAGCAGGGATGTGAACAAGATCAAAGTCAAACTGGTGTATCCTGCTGACCCATCTGTTGAGGGTGGCAGCAGGTTGCTGGTCTGGATTATTGAGCATGCCTTTGATGCAGGACAATCCACTTTGACAATAAATTGGGGGGCACCAATGAGGAACACTTGCAGGGCCCAGAGAGCTCAGTATAAGCCATATAGTTTGAGTTTTGGTTGCAAATATTGGGATTCAATGTCATTCCATGCCAAAGATCCAAAGCAGTGAACAACCCCACCTCTGGTAGGGTGTGTCAGGCCAGTATTCTTATGGCTATTTTCGGGCCTTACAGACCGTTGCACAGCACTACAGACCCTCACTATGTGGACAATGCACCCCAGCAACAAGTCTTGACCCCCCCCTGGATATTTGGCATGACAACTGCAAGGTTTCCCATGTGACAGGAATACCCAGATATTTGGCATGATGACTGCAGGTTTCCTCCACAATGGGATCGACCCACATGGATAGTCAGCATGCCAACACCTGCCTAGGGGAGGTATCCGGAGACTGGTTTAGTATAGAATACAGTTTATAGTAGCTAGTATAAGTAGTTCCTAGAAACTCCTGTACCTAGCTTATTCTGCCCCTTTTCTGTTAGACTTATACAGATCTGATTATCCCCTTACTGGATAGGCAGATTTGACTTGACTTAGCAGATTTGACTTGACTTATTGTGACTTGACTAGATGGACACTGAGCTCCAATTTACCGACTGATTTCTGACAGCTCAGCTTCAGGCTGACTTCAGCATTTCTACCAATTTCCCCCATCTCTCCCCTCTTTCCCTAGTGAGTTCTTGCACACCACCCATCAGACCAATATTTCAGACACCTCTTGGGTTGAATCATATTGGAGCCCAACATGAGGCAGCTTTTACTGATCAAGAGCTGCTGAGGCAAGAGCTCCTCCTCCTATTTTTAATACTGGCTTCCTGTACTCCGGTACCACCTCTGCTATTGACCAACAAAACAAGCTCAGGGATGAACGGCAAGCCTGATGTACTGGGCTCTGAGAAACACCCACAATTTCAGACAAAACAGAGGTATCATCAACTTTGTCCAGCAGGAGCCATACCAATATAGTGGACACAGTCTGACAACTCCTCATGGCAAGCAAACACACTATGCCTATGGGCAGGGAGTCTCCCTCAGCCCTGCACTTTTCTTCTACACCTCTTGGCATCACCCATTATTTTGTGGCCCTGGAAAAACTATTTGGCTTGTGTGAACCTGGTGTCACTGGTGGAGGAGACAAGATCAACTGGGCCTGCTTTTACACCAATGACAACACCTACAAATTATGGGCACAGATCCATGATGGCATGGACAATGCAAACAAGGACTCATATGATGATTTCAAGATGGAAATACTGAAGTACCATCCTGGTGCAGCAGATAACAAACATGGGTATGCAACTTGGGACCTTGACAACCTTGTTCACAAGTGGCAATGCCACATTAAGACCAAGGGTGAATTTGCTGAATTCTGCTGGGACTTCTACTCCATTTCCACCTGGCTCATCAAGCACAACCAGATTTCTGTCCTCAACCAGCAAAAGGCCCTCCTCTGCATACTCAAATTCCTGCCCACTGAAAGCCACCTTTGGGACAAGAGGGTGAACTGGCTTGAACAGAAATACAACAGAGCTGTGGACAAACCTTGGACAATGGCTGAATTAAAGGAGACAGCAGAATGGGCACTGGGCAATACTATGACAAAGGTTTGAATGCTGACCCCCAATTATTCCCAGGATGCAATGCCGGCACTGACATTGGAAGACATCAAAACAGAGAGCAACCCACAGGTTGCCAATATTACTGAATGCATGGCTAACCTGGAAGGAAAGGTTTCCCAGATCTACACACTCATGAACCAGCGACCTGCCATGCAGAACTGACTGGCTGCCCAGCAGACCTCTTATGGACAACCCTCCCAAAATACCTATGGCAACAACACACCAGCTACTGGTGCAAATCAGGTTCCTGTCCCAGCGGAGAACTACCCAAATGAAAACAGATACAGCCCCCAGAATACTGAATGCCTGCTCTGCCACTTTGACAGTGTGTCTACAGGCTGCACAGACAAGATTGTGACATGCCCAGGAGCCTGGAAATATGTGGATGAAGGACTCCTTGAGAAAGACAGCACCTATCATGTCCTTGCTGGCAGCCACCTTATCCCACATCACTGGCCTGGTTGGGATCTTAAGGAAAAAGTTGACGGTTACTACAAGGACCACCCAGAACATTGTCTGAAATTGCAAGCAACTCCTCTCATTGCTTTTCACAATGTGATCATTGAAGATGTCAGCTCAGACTTCGAATTTGAAATCACAGTAGATCACTTGGTGCTGCACATTCTTGCCAAAACACAAGACAACACAGTTGAATGGAACAACGAAAAAATCAAGGTGCTCATGGCTGAGGTGGAACACCTCAAGAAATGGCGGACAGTGTCCACAGGAAAGTTGGCTTGAGTTTCTGAGGTCTACACACCGGCAGCTAGAAAAGAGAAGTCAGATGCACATGTGCATCATAGTACCACACACTTTGCTGGCATATGGGTGGATGAGCTGGAGAAACTGGATACCATCCCAGACCTGCCGAAGCCCCATACCAAACACACCAAAAATGCAGACGACAAAACAGTTTTGCGAGCTCTTGCAGTTACTCTCACCAAAACGCCCATACAAGTTCCCAGTAAGGTCCTCATGTCAGCATGTCCATTGTTTAGCAAGGTGCTTAAAGAGGCATACAGCAAGAAACCAGTTATCCCAGATGTCATACAGGTGACCAAAGTGCAAGATGGTGAGGCCCCAATTTATCAGATTGAAGGCATTTCAGAAGATGCACAAAGACATGGTACCCCTCCAGCAGATCAACTATTTAACTGGCAAATATGACACCCCTGTCCCCTGCATCCTTGATGGCAGCTCTGGCAGAGTTGGTATCAGTGAGCAGCACTGCAAACAAATTGGACTCACATGCACCCTGATCAAAGGCTGGCAAATGGAGTCTGCAAATGATTCAGTCAATCAGCTTCTAGGACATGTTCCGAATTTGCACATTGGTATATCCAGTCTCAATTTCTACATCCAGGCATTCATCCTCCCAAACCTGCCTTTCCACCTGCTCCTCAGTCACCCATTCCATGTCCTCACCTCGTGTGTCACCCAGGATTATACAGACAGGAAACAGAAGATACAGATTACCTGTACTCATGAAAAGGCTTTCACTTGGAATGAGCAAGAAATGGGTCTATTCTGCAGTGACTACTTTGACCCAGTCTGAATTCTGACCATCAAACATATACCCTGGCAACAGAAGAATATTTTGGTTCCCCCTGCTTTATTACTGAAAGTCCTCAAAGCTTTACAGGACAAACTAAATGCAGGAATATATGAACTCTCCCAATCCTCCCACGGATCATGCTGGTTCTGTGTGCTGAAGAAAGATGGATCCCTTCGACCTGTTCTGGACCTGCAACCACTGAATGGTGTAACAATTTGGGACTCAGCCCTCCCTCTGCTTTCTGAACCCCTTGTCAAATCATATGGCAGCTGCTCCATCTACACACTCTTCAATTTCTTTTGTGGCTTCAAACAACACCTCCTGCACCCAGAAAGTCAGGATCTCACCACCTTCCAGTCACTCAAAGGTTCCCTCTGTAGCACACAAAATCTGATGGGAGGCACCAACAGCATTCAGATTATGCATGAAGATGTTATGTTCCTACTCCATGATGAGATCCCCAAATACACCATCCCCTTTGTTGATGATGTCCCCATTTGCAGCCCACCAACTTGATATGAACTCCCCAATGGTGATTTCAAATGGCACTCCCAAAATAAAGGCATTCATTGTCTTATGTGGGAACACATGGAAACCATAAATTGGATCCTAACCTGCATCAAACACTCTGGCCAAACATTCAGTGGTCCAAAAATGGTAATTGCAGCTCCTGAAGTCATCATCCTTGGCCAACAATGTACCAATGTGGGCCAACAGCCCAAGCGCTCTAAAGTAGCAAAATTCTGGGACTGGCAACCATGCAAATCCCTCACCAAAGTTTGAGCATTCCTGGGTACCCTTGGAATCCTCTGAATATTCATAAAGGATTTCACTATGAAAGCCTGCCCTTTGGGACATCTCAAATGCAAAGGTACAATATTTGTGTGGGGCCCCAAGCACCAAGCTGCCTTCAACCAGCTAAAAGCAGATGCATGTCAGGATGGACTCCTCTGTCCCATTGATTATGAAAGCAACTGCCAGATTATCCTCACAGTGGACTCCTCAAATATTGGTGTTGGATACATCTTATACCACAACAATGTCAATGGCAAATGAAAACTGGCCTGCTTTGGATCCTTGGCATGGAACAACATCAAATCCCAGTATTCCCAACCAAAGCTTGAGCTTTATGGCTTATACCACACTCTCCAGGCCCTCCAAGTTTTTCTCATTGGTGCCCCCCAATTTATCATCAAAGTGGATGTGTCCTGCATAAAAGGGATGCTAAATAATCTGGACCAGCAATGTGCTGCAGCCCTCAACTGCTGGGTCAGTGGTATACACCAGTTTGACTGTGACCTTGTCCACATTCCTGCCGAAAAACACACTGGTCCAGATGGTCTCTCCTGCTTTCCCCCAAATTCTTTGGACACTCTGAACCTGTCAGACATCAACCATGAACAATGCCTGGGACTCTCATATCCCACCTACCTTCAATCTGCAGTTGATGACTCCAAGCCCAAAATAGAGATACCCAGGACCTCCTCTGCACAGCACCTTGATGACTGAATTGCATTTATCTGCCAGTACCTAACCAATTTGTCACTCCTTGCAGAATGGAATATGTGGCAATGGGTGGCCCTTGTCAAACAGTCCCTCCAGTACTTCCTACATAATGGCAAATTGTGCCAATGCAACCTTACCAGCCCCCCCCAAATATACATCCCTCCCACCAAACATCTCACCCTGCTGAAGCAAGCTCACGATGAGAGCAGTGAACAACCCCACCTCCAGTGGGGTGTGTCAGGCCAATATTCCCACAGCTATTTTTGGGCCTTAGAGACCATTGCATAGCACTACAGACCCTTACTACATGGACAATGCACCCCAGCAACAAGTCTCAACCCACTACAGATATTTGGCATGTTGACTACTAGGATTCCCCAGGCAACTGGACCCTCAGATATTCAGCATGACAACAGCAGGTTTCTGCTGCAACAGGGTCAACCCATCCAGATATTCAGCATGCCAACACTTGCCTAAGAGAGGTATCTAGAGACCAGATTAGTATAGAGTGTGGTTTTCAGTAGCTAGTATAAGTAGTTTCCAGAAACTCCTGTATCTAGCTTATTCTGCCCCTCTTCTGATAGAGTTATACAGATCTGATTATCCCCATACTGGATAGGCAGGAGCATCTTGACTGAGCATATTTGACTTGACTGGATGTACTCAACTAGATGGAGACTGACCTCTGAATTATTACAGACCAACTTTTGGTAGCTCAGCTACAGGCTTGACTCCCATGTTTCTACTGACTTTTCCCTTCTCTCCCCTCTTTCCCTAGTGAGTTCTTGCACACCACCCATTGGACTGATATTTCAGACACCTCTTGGGTTGGATCAGCATGGCATTACCAGTTTTTCCGGCATTGTCTCCTTTGCTTTGGCCTTGCCCTTCTTGGCCTTCACCAAAGGACTGGCCAGGCTGGCTAAGGACATCTGTGTAATTTGGGTTAGTAATGAAAGATGGCTCATGAAAAAGGGAAACACAAAAAACCTGACAACATTGCCTTAAACTCCTTCTCCTCCTCATCCTCATCCTCCTCTTCTTCCACTGGTGCAGATAAAGCAGCCAGCTCTGCTTGCTGATCCTCAGCAAAAAGGCAGACCTACTTCTCCAGCAAATCACGGACAAGGGCAGACTGGGGGCTGTTGACCAACAGCATCACTGCATTGGCAAACCCCTTGAGGTCCAAATATTTCACCAGAGGCAAAAGTCTGGGATCCTTGGCCTCTTCGCACATGCATGGAACAATTGTGGTGGCCATCTTGAGCATGGCAGCATGCTTGTCTTTTGGCAGTGCTGCTGAAACAGTGTTCCAGATATCAGCACTTAGCAGAGCACTAGTGCATTTTTGTTTTGTGATGAGGGGTGCTCATGCCTATAAATGGGACCAAATTTCGCCTTTCCTGTCCATCCAGATCTCAACTGTTCCCCTGCCTTTACTTACTCACATCCTCTTGCTCCAATATGGCCAAGCCCAGCACTTGCAAGTCTGCTGCCAAGCCTGCACTACCAACGGATGAGCATGCCATCATGCTCAAGACTGCTGCTGCAATCATTGCCCACATGTGCAAAGACACAGAGGATCCCAGATTTTTGCTGTTGGTGAAGTATTCGGATGTCATGCCATTCAGCAATGTGGTTGTGCTGCTCCTCAACAGCCCTCAGTCCACCCTTGTCCATGATTTGCCCAAGAAGTGGGTCTGACTTTTTGGCCTTGACCAGCAAGAGGAGCTGGCCACCTTGTCTGCACCACCTGAAGAGGATGAGGAAGAGGATGAGGATGAGAAGGAGTTCAAGGCAATGTTGTCCGGTTTTTTGGTATGTGTTGCTTTTTTCACAAGTCAGCTACCCTGTACTGACCCAAATTATACAGACATCCCTGGTGAGCCTGGCCAGCCCCTTGGTGAAGGCCAAGAAGGGCAAGACCAAGACAAAGGAGACAACACCAGCAAAGGTGGTCATGCTGTGCCTTGATGATGGCACAAATGTTACCCTGCCAGTGACCAAGGTGCATGGGAGGCCCACCAAGAAGGATTCCTGCAATGCAGTAAGTCAGCTGCTTTTTCTGTTGTGTCCTCAAGTATACTAACCAAAATTTCACAGGGTTGAATGTTGGAGGAGATGCTGGCAATGCTGTTGCTGGCAATGATGGATGAGGCAGTGAGGGAGTCTTTCTTGGCAGAGAACTGCGTAAGTCCTGCCCCACTTTTTGCTCTCCTTTCATCTGACTGATGTGTTTTTCAGGCAGTGTTTGTTGTGCCACAAGCATGTGGTCTTCAAAGATGGGGTGCCTTGCCATGAGTGCAATATTGTGGAGCAGGCTGATAAAGCAGTATGTTTGGTGTGCAAGGCAGCAAAAAAGCCTTGCACCACATGTATAGGTATGCTGTTTGTCTTCCCCTTTTATTGACCTTGACTAACTTCCTTTCAGCTTGTATGAGGAAAGCAACGGCTCTGCCTCCGGTGCCAGCAGAGAAGAAGCTTTTCTGCTCTGAGACTCCTGAGCCCATTGAGGAGCCCACCAAAAAACCTGCTGACCAGGAAAAGCAGAAGCTGATGTGCATGTATCTGCTGGCAAAGCCCAACAAATGCAAGAGGGAAGAGGACAACAAGGATGAGGCTGGGCCCTTGCACAAGTGGTCCCACCTTCCTGAGGCAGGTAAGTTTTTCCCCTTCTGTATGTTTTATTTGGACTGCACTAACTGGTCTTGTAGGGATCGAGCCACCTGTCATGCTGCTCCATATGGCAGAGCATAACATGCTGGAGCTGCAGAAGAGCCTGCTAACAGCTCAGAAAGCAGTGGACGCAGTGCAGAAAGTGGTGGACACCATATCAGGCTGGGTGGAGCAGGTCCAGACTCTCCTGGGGAGGGCTCTGGCTGAGTAAATTGGTTTTGCCTGTCTTCTTTTTTTTTTTCTTTTTCCTGTTTCATATTTTTATCTCATTGTCATAATCATAGCATAGTCCTGTCTTCATATGGTTGTAGATCTGAATTTTGCCTTAAGCAAAATTTGTGGTAATACATCTCATTGGCTTGATCCTATTTGAGTGTGGCCTAAAATCCTGTGACTTCAGCATTTTCACTTTTGCTAATTTGGGTGTCATGTGCCTCGTATATTTTTGCCTTGTAGTTGTAATCATAGCATAGATGTGTCTTTGTGTGCTCATAGATCCAAATTTTGCCTTAAACAAAATTCATGGTAATCCATCTTGTTGGCCTGATATTTGTTGCAGAGTGCTTCAAGTCATGACTTTGATGTTTTCACATAGGTAATTCAGATCTTGTGCAGGTCATAGGAAATTTGTGGGTATTCTGGTAAGGACTGTTTTGTTGCCATACTACTGAGTCTGCTTGTGGACTTAGTAGATATACCTCGGGGAAACAAATAAAAGCAAGTGACAAATTTGGGAAGTAAGGTGCATGCTGTTTCAACAAGCCAGTGGGTATAAGTCCTGCACCATTTATTTGGAGTCAGGCTCTGCAGTATTCAACAAGACATCTTTTATGGTCTGCAGGATTTTGGCAGACATCTGCTGCAATATTTCAGGTAGGGTGGGGGTATGTTCAGATCACTGGTGGTAGGGATACATGCAGAACTGTGTGATGCAGGACTTGAGAATGGCACCATCCAAATTGACTATCACATAGCTGCCTCTAGCAGTTTGGGTGACAACAACCATGGGACCAAGAAATCAGGGCTTTGATTTATGGTCAAGTTCCTTCTTGATGCAAGTATTGCAGATGAGGACCAGGGTGCCAGGTTTGAAGTTGTAGTCGGCAAGGATGTGCTTGTGGTCCACTTTAAATCAGTCAGCCATGTGTAATCAGGCCTGGTACACCATCTCCTGGAGATCAGCTAAATAGGACTTGCAGTGCTCAAGCTGTCAAATTTGGTAGGCCAGCTTGTCACTGTCAGTCATAGGGAATTTGGGTGGGGGCATGAGGAACATTGCTTCCTCAAAGTCCATGGGGAAGACCGGGTGAATACTGTGTGTAATAAAATATGGTGAGAGGCCAGCGCTGTGCTGGACCAAAATTTGCTCAGCCCAGAATGTGGTTGGCACTTTGTCAGGCCAGTGCTTGATATTGTCTCTGCATGCTTTCAAAATTGCTTGTCGGACCATAAAATGTTTTGATTCCACTGCCCCATTTGCATGAGAGTTGTACGGCAAAATTTGGATGTGCCAGATGCCAAAGCATTGTTCCAGTTCTTTCACTGCAGCTACCCAGGCTGATGCATTGTTGGTGATGATCTCTGCAATATTTCCCCAGCAGCAAATAACATTGTGGAAGAGGAATGACATGAGAGCCATTGCAGTTTCCAATTTTAAAGGATGCCATTTGGGATACAAAGATAGGGAGCAGCAGATTTGAGCAATGCAAGTGTATCCTTTTGCAGGAGGCATCTTCATGGTATTGCAGTAAATCTTGGAGAAAAGCAGAGCTGGATAATCAACTGTTGGAGGTTTGAGGACCTTCCAAATGCTGTGGATCTGACACACATGGCAGGTACAGAGGTACCATTTGATATTTGTGCAGAGGTTGGGCAACCAAAATCGGAGATGGAGAATACTGGCAACAGTCTTGAAACCTTTATGACCACTGTCATCATGGGCTTGCTTGAGCAGGGCAAGATGGTTGGCAGGAGGAATGTATATTTGGGGGGGGGGCTGGTGAGATTGTGTTGACACAATTTGCCATCATGAAGGAAATACTGAAGGGACTGCTTAATGAGGGCTGTGCACCGCCACATATTCCAGTCCGGAGGGAGCGCCAAATCGGTGAGGTACTGGCAGATAAACACAATTCAGTTGTCAAGGTGTTGGGCACAGGAGGTCATAGGTATCTCTATTTTGGGCTCAGAGTTGTTGGTAGTGGATTGAAGATATGCAGGATACAAAAGTCCCAGGCATTGTTTGTGGTCAATATCGGGTGGGTTCGGAGCATCTAGTGAATTCAGGGGATGGCAGGAGAGACCATCTGGACTGGTGTGTTTTTCAGCAGGAACATGGACAAGATCAAAGTCAAACTGGTGTATACCACTGACCCATCTGTTGAGTGCTGCAGCAGGCTGCTGGTCGGGATTGTTTAACATTCCTTTGATGCAGGACACATCCACTTCAACAATAAATCAGGGTGTGCCAATGAGGAAAACCTGCAGTGCCCAGAGAGCATGATATAAGCCATATAGTTCGAGTTTGGGCTGAGAATATTGGGATTCAACATTGTTCCATGCCAGGGATCCAAAGCAAGCTGGTTTCCATTTGCCATTGATGTTGTTTTGGTATGAGACATATCCAACACTGATATTTGAGGAATCCACCACAAGGATAATCTGGCGGCTGCTTTCATAGTTGATGGGACAGAGGAGTCCCTCCCAACAGGTGTCCGCTTTTAGCTGGTTGAAGGCTGCTTGGTGTTTGGGGCCCCATGCAAATATCATGCCCTTGCATTTGAGATATTCCAAAGGGCACACCTTCATAGCAAAATCCTTGATGAATATGCAGAGAATGCTGAGGGTACCCAGGAATGCTCAAACTTTGGTGAGGGATTTGCATGGTTGCCAGTCCTGGATTTTTGTGACTTTGGAAGGCTTGGGCTGTCAGCCCACATAGGTACAATGTTGTCCAAGGATAACAACTTCAGGTGCCACTATAACCATTTTTGGACCACTGAATGTTCTGCCAGAATGTTTGATGCAGGTCAGGATCCAATGTACAGTTTCCAGGTGTACCCATATGAAACAACAAATGCCTGTTTTTCAGGAGTGCCATTCAAAATCACCATTGGGGAGTTTGTATCATGTTGGTGGGCTGCAAATGGGGATGTTGTTGATGAAGGGAATGGTATATTTGGGGATCTTGTCATGGAGTAGAAAGGTGACATCCTCATGCATGATCTGGATGCTGTTTGTTCTGTCCATCTGATTTCAGGTGCTGTGAAGGGAACCCTTGAGGGATTGGAAAGTTGTGAGGTCCTGACTTTCCAGGTGTAGGAGGTTTTGTTCAAAGCCCCAAAAGAAATCAAAGAGTGTGTAGACAGAGTGTCCACCATATGATTCAACTAGCAGTTTGGAAAGTGGAGGGAGGGCAGAGTCCCAAATTGTTACACTGTTCAGTGGCTGTAGGTCCAAAACAGGTCATAGAGATCTGTCTTTCTTCAGGATGCAGAACCAACAGGATTGGTAGGAGGACTGGGAGGGTTTGTAAATCCCTGCATTTAGCTCGTCTTGCAAGGCCTTGAGGACCTTCAGTAATAAAGCGGGGGGCACCAGAATATTCTTCTGTTGCCATGTATATGTTCAATCATTGGAATTTGGACCAGGTCAAAGTAGTCACTGCAAAATAAACCCATTTCCCAAGCAAATGCTTTTTCATGGGTACAAAGGACCCATGTGACAAGTTTCTCTTCTTCAGGCCAGAGGAATCTGTATATGTTTATGTTCAGTTCTTCAAATCATTCCAGAGTGAGCTGATTTCCAGGGTTCAAGGTCAGTGGGGTATCAGGGAGTGGGGGAAGCATAGCAAAAGGGTTGGAGGGAATGTGTCTCCATATTTTTACACTCTCCAGTGTTGTTGGCAAGACAGGCTCCAGGCATCTGTCCATGGGTTTATATTTTGGGCCACATATACAGGATGGGTATTGTTGGGTATTGTATCCGATTCCGGGGTGTCTGTCTGAGAGCTGTGTGTTCAAGATTGAGTGCCAATTAATTGAGTTTTCCATTCCATCTTCTGTTCACTGGGGAAGATGATCCCAAATTAAAAATCCTGAACCACACATTTTCTTCCCATTTGATGCAATTGAGTCCACAAGTTGATTGTCTGGTGGGAATTCAGACATGTTATCTGTATCTTCTGTTTGCCATCTGTATAATCCTGAGTGATGCAAGAGGTGAGGATGTGGAATGGGCAACCAAGGAGCAGGTGGAAAGGCAGATTTGGGAGGACAAAAGCCTGAATGTAGAGGTTGAGACCAGAGATGCTGATGCATAATTTTGGGATGTGTCCAAGAAGTTGATTGACCAATCTGTTTGCAGATTCCATGTGCTGTCCATTCACTGGGGTGTATGCAAGTCTGATTTGTTTGCAACACTTTTCACTGATGCCAACAATGCCTGAGCTGCCATCAAGGATGCAAGGTACAGGAGTGTCAAGGTTGCCAATTAAACAGTCAATCTGCCAGAGGGGGACCATGTCTTTGCCAACCAATAACCTGTCCATGTCTTCCAAAATGCCTTCGATCTGGTAGATCAGAGCCTTGCCATCTTGAACCTTGGTCACCTGAATGATGTCCAGAATAATCAGTTTCTTGCTGTAAGCTTCCTTCAGCACCTTGTTAAACAGAGGACATGCTGATGCCAGGACCTTGCTGGGAACTCAAACCAGGGTTTTGGCAAGAGTAACTGCTAGTGCTCACAAAACTGTCTCATCTTCCACAGTTTCAGGTCATTTGGCATGGGGTTTTGGTGGGTCCAGGATGGCATCCAACTTCTCCAGTTTGTCCACTCATATGCCAGTGAAGTGTGCAGCACTACAATGTATGTGCATGTCCGATTTGTCCTTTCTGGCTGCTGGTGTGTAGACTTTGGAGACCTTGGCCAAATTTCCCATGAACACTGCATGCCTTTTCCTGAGTCAGTCTGCTTCAGCCATTAACACTTTGATCTCCTTGTCATTCCATTTGACCATTGGTCCTGTTTTTTGGCAAGGATATGCAGCACCAAGTGATCCACCATGACTTCAAATTCAGAGTCTGAGCCAATATCTTTGATGATCACATTGTGAAAAGTGACAAGAGGGGTTGCTTGTGATTTTGGACAATGTTCCAGGTGGTCCTTGTAGTAGGTGTTGACCTTTTCTTCAAGGTCCTGACTGGGCCAATGATGTGGGATGAATCGGCCACCAGCAAGGACATGATAAGTGCCCTCTTTCTCAAGGAGTCCTTTGTCCACATATTTCCGGGTGCCTGGGCATGTTGTGATCTTGTCCATGCAACCAGTAGAGACTCCATTGAAGTGGCAAAGTGCATGTTCAGTATTCTGGGGGCCATATCTGTTTTGATTTGGGTAGTTCTCTGCTGGGACAGGAACCTGATTTGCACCAGTAGCTGGAGTGTTGTTGCCATAAGTATTTTGGGAGGGTTGTCCATAGGAGTTCTGCAGAGTGGCCAGTTGGTTCTGTGAGGTGGACTTCCAGTTCATGAGAGTGTATATCTGTGAAACCATCCCTTCCAAGTGGGCCATACATCTGGTAATTTCAGTGACCTGTGGGTGCTCTCCATTTTAATGTTGTCCAGTGCTGGTACTGGTGTTGCATCCTGTGAATAACTGGGCAACAGTGGCTGAACCTTTGTCATAGTGTTGCCCAGTGCTCATTCTGCTGTCTCCTTTAATTTGGCCATTGTCCAAGGTTCATCCACAGCTCTGTCATATTTCTGTTTGAGTCTGTTGAGCATCTTGTCCCATAGATGGCTTTCAGTAGGTGGAAATTTGAGTACATGGAGGAGGGCTTTTTGCTGGTTGAGGACAGAAATTCAGTTGTGCTTGATGAGCCAGGTAGAAATCAAGTAAAAGTCCCTGTAGAATTTGGCAAACTCTCCTTTGGTCTTAAAGTGGCATTGCCACTTGTGAATGAGGTTGTCAAGGTCCCAAGTTGCATACTGGTGTTTGTTATTTGCTGTGCCAGGATAGTACTTCAGAATTTTGGTCTTGAAATCCTTGTACAACCCCTTTTTTGCATCTTCCGTCCATCATGGATCTGAGTCCATAATTTGTAGGTGTTGTTGTCAGTGTAAAAGCAGGCCCAATCAATCTTATCTCCTCCACCAGTGACAACAGATTTGCACAAGCCAAATAGTTCTTCCAGGGCTGCAAAATAATGGGAGATGCCAAGAGGTGTAGGGGAAAAGCAGGGGGCCAAGGGAGACTCCCTGCCCATAGGCATAGTGTGTTTGCTCACCATGAGGAGTCATCAGACTGTGTCCACTATTTCAGAAGTACTCTGGCTGGAAGTGGATGATACTTCTGTGTCATGTGAAATTGTGGGTGTTTCTTGGAGTGTGGTACATCAGGCTTGCCATTTCTCCCTAAGCTTGTTTTCTGGTCTATAGTGGAGGTGGATACCAGAATATGGGAAGCCAGTATCAGAAATCAGAGTAGGAGGAGTTCTTGCCTCAGCAGCTCTTAATCAGTAAAAGCTGTCTCATGTTGGGCTCCAATATGATCCAACCCAAGAGGTGTCTGAAATATTGGTCCAATGGGTGGTGTGTGAGAACTTGCTAGGAGAGAAGGGGAAAGTCAGTAGAAACATGGGAGTCAAGCCTGTAGCTGAGCTCCCAGAAGTTGGTCAGTAATAATTCAGAGGTCAGTCTCCTTCTAGTCAAGTACATCCAGTCAAGTCAAATATGCTAAGTCAAGATGCTCCTGCCTATCCAGTATGGGGATAATCAGATCTGTATAACACTAATGGAAAAGGGGCAGAATAAGCTAGATACAGGAGTTTCTGGAAACTACTTATACTAGCTACTCTAAACTAAACCCAATACTAATCCGGTCTCCAGATACCTCTCCAAGGCAGATGTTGGCATGCCAAATATCCATGTGGGTCAATCCTGTTGCAGAGGAAACTTGCAGTCATCATGCCAAATATCTGGGTGGTCTTGTTGCCTGGGGAATCCTAGTAGTTGCCATGCCGAATATCTGTGGGGGTTGAGACTCATTGCTGGGGTGTGTTGTCCTGTGTAGTGAGGGTCTGTAGTGCTGTGCAATGGTCTCTAAGGCCCAAAAATAGCCATGTGAATACTGGCCTGACACACCCCAATGGAGGTGGGGTTGTTCAGTGCTGGCCAGCCACCTTTAGCACCAAATGCACAGCAATGCCCTCCAATATGCCTCCTCACTGAATATTCGGTGGTACTGCACCATTTTCCTGACTGTGCATTGTGTTAACCAGGGCCCCACTGACTCAGGGAGTCAGTATTCAAGGTTTGGGGGGGATGAACAACCCCACCTCTGGTGGGGTGTGTCAGGCCAGTATTCCCATGGCTATTTCGGGCCCCTAGAGACCATTGCATGGCACTACAGACCTTCCCTACACAGACAATGCACCCCAGCAATGACTCTTGACCCCTCCCCGGATATTCGGCATGACAACTGTGAGGTTTCCCATGCAACAGGACCACCTGGATATTTGGCATGATGACTGCAGGTTTCCCCCACAACAGGATCAACCCACATGGATATTTGGCATGCCAACCTCTGCCTTGGTGAGGTATCCGGATACCAGTTTAGTATAGAGTACAGTTTATAGTAGCTTGTATAAGTAGTTCCCAGAAACTCCTGTACTTAGCTTATTCTGCCCCTTTCCAATTAGCATTATACAAATCCAATTATTTGTATATTGGCAGACTCCACTTGACTTAGCATGACTTGACTGGATGGACACCAAGCTCCAATTATTGCATACCAACTTTTGATAGCTCAGCTACAGGCTGACTCCAGTGTTTTACTGACTTTCCCCTTCTCTCCCCTCTTTCCCTAGTGAGTTCTTGCACACCACCCATCAGACCAATATATCGGACACCTTTTGGGTTGGATCAGTGAGACACTCATCATTGGAGAGGATGGTGTTGCTATCTCTGACATGCTTGAAACATTACTGATGCCCAGCCCTTGCAACCATTCTGTCCTCTTCAAACCCCCCTTGCATCTTCTCATGCATCACCTCCATCTCCTTCCTGAGCTTGTAGAGTTTGGCACAAATGCTCTCAAGGTCAGAGTTGAAGACCACCTCCAGCTGCTCCATGTCTCCCTTGACCTGTTCAAAGTTGGAACTTGTGGTCTTGCTGTTCTTGTTCCAGCGCTTGATTGCAGTGTCCATGGTCTGGTGGTACCTCTTCAACATTGTGTTGAGTTCAACGACGGAGTCAATGATCTCCTGACATGACTTGGCACAAGGGAGGTGATCAGCTTTGACTTCCCTGTGAGATGGTGAGTTGCTGAAATGTTGTGGTGAGGCCAGACATGCTTACCCTGCCATATCATTATAGTCAAGCTGCTTGAGTCCCCTCATCAGCTTGAAGCACTGGTCAGTACTGAGGTCTGTGAAGACTTTCAAAAGCTCCATTGCACTAGCCTTTGTCTTGAGAGGAGAAACAACAATGAGAGTTAAGTAAAGGTTGAAGTATTAGTAGGAGTAGAGTGGGTGAGTTGAGAGGAGGTAAGAGAAGGTGAGCTGGAGGATGGTGGTAGAGTGATGCACATATAAGCATGTCAGAGGTATGTGGTCATGTCAAAATGTGGCAAGGAAGAATATGTGCAAGACATGGGATGGGTGGTGGTGGGTGGCAATGAAGAAAGGATCACATGGTCTTGAGTATATAGCCATGGTCTGGAGTATATAGCTGTGGTCTTGAGTATATCACCATGGTCTTGAGTATAATAACCATGGTCTTGAGTTTGCAGTATCCATAGTTACTCAGAAGACCAAAGCATGGATTGTGGGTACCTTTTCTAATACAGCTAGGTAAGGGTGTGCTATACTGATACCCAGTGACCCTGGTGGACCTGGGTAACACCTCATGTATTAGACCCCAGGAAGGCTGTGGAAAGTCCGGTCAGGGACTCACCTGGGTGTACCTACGAATGCCTCCGCCAAGGACCCCTCCACACGCGGTGAGTGTCGTTCTATTGCTGATATCCTCTCTTCGTTCCCGGCGGTCCCGCCCCGCACCTCCTTCAGCCTGCCGCCAACCTCTTCCTCCGTCCCCCTCCTCCTTCCTTACCGCCTATCCGGACGTATCCGTCCCTTAGTATGTGCGGGCGAGGAGTGTGCTGCGTGCGTTCTATATGTCTGTGTTACGTTCGTTTGTGTACTGACACGCTTCTCAGTGCATCTGTCAACTCCCTCCTCCAGTTGCAGCTCCCCCAAACCCCTCGCCAACTCGCACCTTTTCCACTCTGCCCCGTCCGACAACCCCCTTCGACCCAGCGAGTGCGCACAGGAAGGGTCACCTGGTGAGTACCCTCTCGGTTCTGCGGGCTTGGTTATAATACTGATATCCATTATCCTGGCCTAGCGCCCTTCCTCCGATGGGGTCTTGTCCATCACGGCTCCGCCAGATCCGCAGCTCCTCTCTCCTCTCTCTCACCTCCCAGCCAAACCCGCCCGATGCCTGGGGAACGGACATACTACCAGTGAGCGTGGGATAATGTGGAGCCATGAATTGGCATTTATACGTACGACGGAATGGTCCGTCTCGTCACCGCAGTGCGCGTGTGAGCTCCCCAAGAGGTTTCGTCGGACTCGGGGCTTTCAGAATGGTCGAGCCTGCTGCCAATCCCTGCCGGAACCCATTGCGAGAGCTGTTCGACACGGAGGTGATATATTTGACCAGCCTAGGGAGACTAGTCACGGAGTTTTCCCGAACGCACAACGGGTCACTAGCTCCCCTTGTGCATATCCTCCAAGAGATTAAGAGCGCTCTGTCTCCTATGGCTTTGGCCTTAGGATTTGGCTTTGGCTTAGGGTTAAGGCGGGTCAGTGAGGGGCGTGACGCGGACTGGGAACCCTGGCGCGGGCGACGAGCTCGATGTCGGACTCGTCCTCTGCGATCAGCCGTTCCTCCCTGGCCACCTTGTCAACTCGGGTCGCGGTTCGGAGTCCTGGCAGGGGGTAAGGCGGCGAGCCGGCGTGCAGCGATGGTGCGGCGATCCACAGCAACGGAGGGGGTCAAAACGGCGAAAAGCGCGGGTACGGCGAAAAAGGGCCGTCCGACGGGGCGACGGAGCGTGTGCCGGCGGTTAGACTACCTCTCCCCCCCCTCCTCCTCCTCCTCCTCCTCCTCCTCCTCCTCCTCCTCCTCCTCCTCGGCTTCTCCGTCGTCTTCCGGATCGGGGAGCGGTTGGTTCGGCGGATATGGCGGTCCGCGCGTCTCCGGGGTACTAGGCGTGCAGAACTTGAGCCACATATACAGCGTATTGGCGTCGTGCAGTGGAAAACTGTGGTACACCGCGTTGCCCCCCAGAATGTACATGTCAACTGTCCTGGCCCTGATCAAGATCGTAATGAAGTTCCTGCCAGGCCCCATCTCCGCCGCACGCGCGTGGTACGCAACCGCTTCGTTATTCGCCATCAACGCATTTTGATAAGGCCGCTTCACCTCGACGACGCACATTGGGCGTTGTGTGCGACGGATCGGATGAATCTCGTCCACCGTGACATCGGGAACCATGATACAGATCTTCGTGCTCGAGATGCCATACGAGTTTCTCGGGTTGTGTGCTCGGCGCGCTCCACCACCTTGTCGGGGCACGCGCACCTTCTGCACCCTCGACTCCGTCCGAACTGTGACAACGTCTCGCCCCGCCGCTCGTGCCTACTGGAACCTCTCATCCAACGCGTCGCGCTCTTCCGGCGTTTGTGCCCATTCCAGCGCCCCTTGCGGCTTTAGCATCCACAGCCCTTGACGGCTCGACCACTCCGAACACGTCTCCATGATCGCCATACACAGCGGTCCATATGAGCTGTTTTCCCACCTGTGTCGGTCTTGGAGCCTCGCCTCCAGCGTGCGGATCCAGTACACAAAGCTGGGGGGGCGACGTGCGTTTGTGCGGGAGGGCCGCCACCGCCAGCAGGAACAAGGGTGCCGGAGGGACCACCCAGAACGCGTGCCAGCATGTTGCTGTGAGTGATGGGAACAGCGCGACCTTGACGTTGCAGACGGGGAGGTGTGAGAGAGAAGAGCAAAGGGTGTGTCCAAGCAGCCAAACAGCAAGGAAACCGGTGTTTATGTATCTGGGCTGACTGATAACATATCATCGCACGTCACATCATCAATCAGAATCCCGTCGTTCCCACGCGGATTGTCTATGTGCCACGCGGGCCAGAAGCCCATGACCCCGCATCACGATCCATCAATGCCTCGGCATTGATCCACTTCAAATCGCTCCACTTCAGTGATGAACCCGCCAGCACACGGTTCATCAATTCTTTGTGCTCCGCTGTCTCCTTGCCGTCTCCCCTCGACGTGGGCGGCACAAACAACAGGCCAACCACCACCTCGTTCCCATCGACATCCTCACCGTGCAGAGGATACAGGTTGATCTTCGTGCCGCCGGGCGTCGAGTTCACTCGATGAGAGGTGAGTGCCAGCAGCGTCGACAAATCGCGCTTGCCGCCCACCTGCGGGTGAAAGTCGATCCACCGTTGCCAAGCGACGACGTCAAGCGCGTATCCGTCCAGGATGAGATTGGGTTCCTGAATCAGAGAAAATGAGCACTTGAGCATCAGGAAGAGGGGGAGAACACGGGGAAACTTACGGTTGCACTGGGCATAACAGGGCGGGATAGGACAGTAGACGAGGGGTAGCTGGCACAGACCAGGACCCTTATACCTCCTACCAGCCATGAGTCAGTCGGCTGATTAAGGGTCCCAGCTGCTATCCCCCCTCTGGTCTTGGCCCCTTGACTGGACAGTGGTTGTCAGCGTTTAGCTTACCTCCAATCCGCAGGTTTTCTAAATTCGTCTTTTAAAAATCAAGGATTGTTGTTCCATCTGTGGCTCTGTAAAGCCATCAACTCCGGGGTGAAATTCAGTCACAATTCTCCATGATAGTAATCCCCCTCTGGCTGGCTATATGTTTCTCCTCTATGTGCGGCAATGACGGGCCGAGTGGAGGTGAGACGGTGCCAAGGCGGTATGTGAGGACCGGGGCACTGGCAAGTGGATGTTGTCGTACATTGCTATTTACCGTCCATAATTGTTCAATGGCAGCAACGAACGGCTCTCACGAATCGTCAACTCAGTTCATCAGCGGCTTCGCACATGTCAATCTTACCGTTCCAGCGGGTGAGCAGTCCTCCTTCGAGCCCCCATCCCTTTTGTTAACTAGGCATCTTCGGGCTAACAAGGCACGCTACCACTTGCCAAAGCATTCTATGCAGACGTGCTAGGCATGCGGCCGATCCCCGTACCTGCGGCACAGACTGATACTCTCGGTTGGTGAGTGACATAACGCGGTTTGGCTGGAGGACCACGCTCACGAACTACGAGGTATGATTGTGGGAACGGGCAGCAAATACACATATCTCACCCGAAGGACCCCAAATTCCCAATCGACCCAATCTCCTCGCGGCACCCCTGCTTCAAGGTCGGCTCTCTTGAGAAGCTCAACGGATTGAAAGAGAGGATTTACAGGGACAAGTTGGAAGGGAAAGCGAGCTCGCCGTTGGATGCTGATGAGCCTGGTATGCGGGACTCGGGTGCCCAGGGGCCGGAATATCCCAAGAGGTTCTTCTGTCGGGATTACGCGGGAAACAGACTCGAGTTTAGTCTCTGAGATGTACCGTCACATATCAGGTTCTAGTTGGTTGCAACAGGATGAGCAGCTTGTTTTCTTCCGCTCACGTTCGACTTTGAATTGCGCCCTGCAACTCTGCTCGTTTCCCTCCTCCCCTTGTCCATTATTTGCGAATCCATCTCCATGAGAGCAGCCTTGTCCACTTTGGGAGTCAGTTCATGTGCGGCTTATCATGTGCTACTCGCCATTCTGCTCGGCTAGCCGAAGGACATACCTCGAAACGCAAGCATCACTGGGGCATTGCATTGCCTTCGCCACATCATCTACCCAACGACTTGGATTCTTGTTGACTATTCAAGCCAATTTCCCTATTCAACAAGGTCCTACACTACCAATGCCGTCACCCAAGCTGTCGCCCTACCATTTCGCCCGTACATTCCCCAAACTGTACTACAAGCCAGTAAAGCGCGCTTCCCCAGAAGGAGAATGCAGAACCGTCGTATATGTGTCCTTTTGTGATGGGGAGAGGGGGGGTTTGGGCAGTAGAAACACGCGCACCATGATAAGATGACGAAAGACGGCCAGTTTTGGCAGTTCTCCATAAATCACACCACCTCATAGGTTACAAACTGAGAGAGGAGTTAAAGGGCGACTAACCCATTGGCAACAAGCATGGAACTGGGAGTACTGTCCTTTCCTTAGCTCGGTATTATCCACTCAGCCGACCGCAAGCACTCGTTCGTGCGCTGCCAGCCAGGCGTATCGCTGGGGGTACGAACCAGACAAGGATGGGCCACGTCTAGGATACACCCTCTAGCTGCGATGTTTCCGCCGCTCACGGATATAGTTACCGTATGAAGCGACATAGGTTTGGCGTGAACAATGAAGTTCAATGCCCCGCAACTTGGTCCTCAGTCTCCTCCTCGTCTTTCTCTAGCTCCTCATCCTTTCCCCATTCATTCGTTCATTGCGTTGATTGGTAAAGAAAGGCAGAAATTAGTGATGGTAGAACAACAGTTGCTTGGAATGTAGAACAGACATCCGCTAGCCAGGAAGAGGGACGGTGACAGTGTGTGGTAAAAAGTCAGAAAGTCACGAGAGGGTGCATGGGGGTGTGCGATGATACAGTGGCTATAAAGAGAGGGGATAGCATGAAGAAACGTTAAAGAAGGATGGATGGATGATGGATGGGATGGACTGGTTGCTGAGACTTGCCTGCACCGTTCATAACTCGCTCCCACCCCCGATTGATCACTCTTGCAGCCTCCTCCTGACATAGCTCAATCCTTCCTTCCTCCTAACTCTCTGCTCCTGTTTACCGATACGGCCAAATAAAGTTCGCGTCGGTGGATCGGGATCCCATATCAGTCGAACGCCTCCTCTGCGCTCCTCCGTACCAGTCGGCGAACGCGTTTCCGGTACGCTTGGATGTCCTCGCGTACCTCCTTAGCGGCATCTATGTTGGCAGGAGAGTCGGTATTGGGCGTGTCGGAGGACAAGAGAGAGATGACGCTCAGGAGCTGTTTGGGAGAGGTGCGTCAGCGTGCGGATAATGCCGAAAGGGGATGCACGGCGACCCACAATTGTCTCGATCGTGTGCACAGGAAGCCACCGCTCGCCCGCGTCCTCGTACCCGTATTCATCGTTTCCCGGAGGGTGTAAGATAGAGATGCACACGTCGCCGTTGGGGTAAACTATGGTGCCATTGTCAGCTGGCGGGATGCACGGAGAGGGTGAACGACGTACTGTTCGGATGCCACATCTGGGTGATGAAAGTCATCTTAGGCGGGAGGAGGGGATACTCGGGTGGGAATTTGAGACGAGCTTTGAAGAACCCTCCTTCGCTATGTGGATACCGCACCAGTCAGCATACATGCACCTGCGCGGCTTATCGCGCGGTGAGGGTTGGCGAGGGTGGCTTACTAGACCGTGTCAGGAGGTCCGATGATGAGAATCTCCCATTCGAGCAGGTTAGAGTCGTCTACGAGACCGGCGGAGAAGCCATCCACCGGGTGTTTGCGAAGTTCTGCGAGCTGACGTTTGAGCAGGAGGTGTGGACCGGTGACGGGTGTGGATGTGCCCGAGTTAGCTTTGGACATTGCAGAGAGTGATAGCAGGGTGTTGTAGTAGTAGGAGGAGATGTTGAGAGAAGGAATATAGTCGAAAGTGCAGGTGGTGGTGGAAGGGAAGAGAGAGGAGTGAAGGGCAAGGGCGTTGTTGCGGTTTGTGTTGTGGGAAGGATTAATGAATGGACAAGGACAAGCGCAAGGCTGAAAGGAGTCGCGTGGAGGGACATGGATTATACAAGCATTAACCCACACGGAAGTATCATGCCAGTGATGGTCACAGGCCTGAATTCAAATAGTATGCACCTCACTGTCCAAACAGAACTCCTCAATGGCTACCTTCCCACCCGAATGGCGCCTCATATATTCCGCTTCTTCCCTCTTCAGCGGCCTGCCAAGAATCGCGATCGTCCAGTAGAGGCGCAGACGTTCGGCCTCAGCCTTGCACGCACACGGCTCGGGCTGCTGATTGTAGAACGCCTCCTCCAAAGCCCGTTCAAACATCCCGTCCGTATCCAACAAACCGTGGGGCAACTTTGGTGTGGCTGTCAGGGTTGGTAAGGCGGTTGCCCCGGTCCAGTCGATGACTCCTATAACATGTCCTTCCTCGTCGATCAGGATATTGACATGTTCCCAATCAGGATAGACCAAGACATGATTTTCCTCCCATTTTACATCACGGGTTCGCTGGGCAATCATGGTCACGGCAGCGTGGTGTCCCGCATGATCTACCTCCGCTGGCGGCTCCTCCAAATCTTGCCCCTCGACCAGGGCGGTAAGGTAGTCCTGAGCGGTTCCGAAGGGCCCGAACTGTCGTCCATGAGGTAGAAACGAACAAAACCCACCCACGGTGAAGGTTCCATCTGCACCGTGGTAGATACTACCACATTCTCCGACGGGATTATTGCTAAGATCGGAGAGTATTCTGGCGAGCTTGAAACTGCAAATGAGCCTTGTGGATAAACCCTTCTAAGCGGGACTTACCTCGGGGATGGTGTTTTCCATCTTCTGCCTTTGTGACAGGTTTGGCCAAACATCGTCCAACGAGCGACCCGGCATCTAGTATATGTGTCAATCCCCAGTCCATGTGGATAGTTCGCTCAACTTACAATGCTCAGGAGGAGGTACGCAGCGCCTATGCGGCAGTGCTCGTCCAAATCGTACCCATACACTCGGGGCACTGGAATGGACTTGACGCGCTTGCAGAGGAACTCCAGCGTTGCGGCCTATTTGCGATGAGACTCCCCTTGAATGTTGCCTCAGCATACGCACCTCGGAAAGGATCATCTGGCTCCGCCGCCTCATCCACAGCGGCTACCCATTCACCCGCGCAGTCAGCCAACATGTTGACCCTACCTTTTTTTACCTACTTACTTTCTCATTCCCGCGTGTTTTCTCCCCCTGCCGCACCCTGGAAGCCAGCCTCCGATTAAGAACAGGCCACCCTCAAACTCCAGCAGGATGAGCTGTAGGCGGGTCAGCCGCCACTATGGGTACAGGAGACTGTCTACCAACGAAATGCTGGCCGCCTATCATTTTCTAATCAGCACACAACCTCCAAGGTATAGCGGTATCGATACCTACCCTGGATTTTGGACCGATATGCTGCGATGCATTTTTTCTCCACTAGCGACGTCGCTGATGCACACAGCGCAGCTATGTTAACGTCCAAGCTGATGAAGAGGGTCGAGAGGTGCTCTTTGCTGTCCTTGATGTCGAGCTGCTTACCTCGCAGGAGAACATTGTCTTTTGCGACGACTGACTGGATCTCGGGGGAATCTCTGATTGATAGGGTCGCAAGGGGTATGGGTGCAGCTTGGTTATCCATGGTGTACAACGAAGCACAACAGAGACATCCATGTGGCTGTGTAACTCTCGTAATATAGGATCCCAAAACACGTGCTTTGAACGAATCTCATCCTCCTAGTCACTCGTCAGCTTGTCTAATAGTGTCCTCTCTGTGCTGTGGGACAGTAAGAGGACTACACGTGACCTTCCTTCTGAGCCAGTCATGGCACGAACGAAGGAGGCAGCACGCAGGGGTGGGCCACGCAACAAGCCCACAACAGGAACTCACGACGTAAAGGCACGTGCCTCTTCCTCTGGTCAACCATCTCATCCCCCTCTCCCGCACCCTCGACGGCCTCAACAAGAAGTCAAGTTCCGTCCTGTGTCCCCGATACTCAAAGATGACGACGACCTCATGATGACTGCACGAGAAAAGAGGGAGATGGACGCGTTTAGACGGGAGAAGGAGGAGAGGGAAGCGGACAGGCTTGCGTGGGAGGCGCTGGGTATGGAGAGCAGCAAGTGGAGTGCGAAGAACTTGAGTGACCCTATCAAGACTGTTGAGGTGGGTTCTGCCTCTTTCTTCTGCCCTCTCATCCTTAGTCCGACATTCTAGGACAAATGGCTCCTCCTTCCTGCTTTCCTCAAAGTCAAAGGACTAGTGAAGCAGCACGTAGACTCGTTCAACTACTTTGTCGACGTAGATCTGCAGCAGATTTTGCGCGCAAACAACCTCGTCACGTCCGATGTCGATCCTCGCTTCTACATCAAATACACGCATATAGCTGTCGGGCCTCCTGAACGCGCAGATCCAGACCAGGGGGAGAGCCCGGAGCGATTCAGCGTGACGCCACACGAATGTCGACTGAGGGACACGACCTACTCTGGTCGGATCACAGTCAACGTGGAGTACATCCGGGGGAACAAGAAAATCATCCGTCGCGGGATCGAGATTGGCCGATTGCCTATCATGCTCCGGAGCAACAAGTGCGTTCTTACAGGGAAGAGCGAGGCAGAGCTTGCACGAATGCAGGAGTGCCCCCTCGATCCCGGTGGATACTTTGTCGTCAAAGGGACGGAAAAGGTGATCCTCGTCCAAGAGCAGCTGAGCAAGAATAGGATCATCGTAGAGACTGATCCGAGCAAGGGGGTCGTAATGGCCAGCGTCACATCGTGCGTTCACGCTATTCGCATGCATGCTTCAGACTGACGCAACCGAGATCGACTCATGAACGCAAATCCAAGACGTACGTCCTAACGAAAAAGAACAAAATCTACCTTAAACACAACTCCGTCACGGAAGACATCCCCATCTGTATCGTGCTCAAAGCCGTCGGTGTCCAATCTGACAAAGAGATCCTCCAGCTCGTCTGTGGGCATAACGAAGAGTATCGCGAGTCCTTCGCTGCCAACCTCGAGGATGCCGCTAGGCTCGGTGTGTTCACCCAGCGGCAAGCACTCGAATATATGGGATCACGCGTCAAGGTCAACCGTCCCAGGCCGTTCGGAGCGCCTTTGGCGGGAACACAGGGCCCACGCAGACCAGCATGGGAGGAGGCAATGGAGGCACTTGCCACCATCGTCCTTGCTCACGTGGAGATGGAGGGACTGGACTTTCGGCCAAAGGCCGTCTATATCGCCGTTATGGTCCGGAGAGTGCTGATGGCAATGAAGGATGAGAAGCTTGTGGATGATCGGGACTATGTCGGGAACAAGCGCTTAGAATTGTACGTATATGGGTCATTTCCCACCGAGACGTGGGTCTAACAGTCCTTGCAGAGCCGGTCAACTCCTCGCCCTCCTGTTCGAAGACCTGTTTAAAAAGTTCAACCAGGATCTGAAGATGAACATCGACAAAGTGCTCAAAAAGCCCTCCAGGACAGAAGAATACGACGTGATCAAGGCGCTTACCTTCCACGCCCAATCAGAGGGTATCACCCAGGGCTTCATACGTGCCATCTCGACTGGCAACTGGAGCCTGAAGCGGTTCAAGATGGACCGAGCGGGTGTCACCCATGTCCTCTCGCGGTTGAGTTTCGTCAGCGCATTGGGAATGATGACGAGGATCACAAGTCAGTTTGAGAAGACAAGGAAGGTTTCCGGGCCGAGAGCGCTCCAGCCTAGTCAGTGGGGCATGCTATGTCCTAGCGATACCCCGGAAGGAGAGGCATGCGGCCTGGTCAAGAACCTTGCACTCATGACGCATATTACGACCGATGTTGAGGAGGAGCCAATCGTCCGAGTTGCGTTTATGCTTGGTGTTGAAGGTGGATCTTCTTCGTCCGCTTGTTGCCGATAGTGGTTGATCAGCTTGTCAGATATCAATCTTGCCACCGGGCCGGAGATCCACCACCCGGACACGTTCATGGTGAATGTGAACGGGTCCATCATCGGACTCACACGCCAACCAGGACGGTTCGTCGTCGCCCTTCGCAAGCTCCGGCGCGCAGGCAGGATTTCAGAGTTTGTCAGCGTGTACATCAACCATCATCATAAGACGGTACATATCGCTGCGGATGGAGGCAGGATCTGCAGACCCATGATCATTGTTGAGAAGGGCAGGCCGAGAGTCACCGAGGACCACATCAAGGTGTGTCAAACCGAGCCAGGATCCCCTTCCGTTTTCTTACATCCGGGTAGTTGCTCAAGAAAGGCCATGTTACGTTCGATGACTTCTTACGCAAGGGTCTGGTAGAGTACCTCGACGTAAATGAGGAAAACGACTCCTATATCGCACTCTACGAGCGTGAGATTCTTCCGACAACAACACATCTCGAGATCGAGCCGTTCACTATCCTCGGCGCTGTGGCCGGTCTGATTCCGTACCCGCACCACAACCAGTCCCCGCGAAACACTTACCAATGCGCCATGGGAAAACAAGCGATTGGTGCGATAGGGTACAACCAGTTCCGCAGAATTGACACGCTGCTTTATGTGATGGTCTATCCGCAGCAGCCAATGGTCAAGACTCGCACCATCGAGCTGATTAACTATGACAAGTTGCCTGCTGGGCAAAACGCGACTGTGGCCGTGATGAGTTACTCCGGGTACGATATTGAGGATGCTTCTATGATCAATAGGGTGAGCATTGTGTATATTCCTGGGGCCACTCTCATGTGGATTGTAGGCAAGTCTGGACCGTGGATATGGCCGCTGTCAGGTGTACAGGAAGAATGTAACGCTGATTCGCAAGTACCCGAACGGGACGTGAGTGTAAAACCTTCTCGGACCGGTGCTTTTACTGAATATCTTCCAGTTTCGATCGATTAGCTGATGCGCCCATTGATGAAGTCACTGGAAGACCACCGGACAAATATAGCGCTCTGCAAGCAGACGGCATCGCCGGTGTGGGCGAACAGCTGCGACCAGGCGATGTCTACATCAATAAACAGTCGCCGGCTAATGCCAACGACAACTCATTCAATGCGAACGTCCTCGACTCCACCAGCACCTCCCTCGTGCAGTATAAAAATACGCCAATGACCTACAGAAGCCCTGTTGGTGGCATTGTTGACAAAGTTATGCTCACAGAAACGGAGAATGATCAGACTTTGGTCAAGGTCCTCATCCGCCAGACACGGCGACCGGAACTAGGTGACAAGTTCTCTAGTCGACATGGACAAAAGGGTGTTTGCGGCTTGATTATTAATGAAGAGGACATGCCTTTCAACGACCAAGGCATCAAGCCTGATGGTATGTATCAATCTGCCCACCCCCACTCTACTCATCTGACTTTGCTCAGTTATATTTAATCCGCATGGTATGCCTAGTCGAATGACTGTGGGCAAGATGATTGAACTGCTAGCCGGGAAGGTACGATGTTGTCCCCATGTATTACAAAGAAATCTCAACCACGGCATTCTAAATAGGCCGGCGTCCTCAAGGGCAAGCTGCAGTATGGGACAGCATTCGGCGGTTCCAAGGTGGAGGACATGTCCCAGATCCTAATCGAGAAAGGGTTCAACTACGCAGGCAAAGATTACCTTACCAGCGGTTTGACTGGAGAGCCGATGGAAGCTTATGTCTACTTTGGTCCGATCTATTACCAAAAACTCAGTGAGTTATCACTAATGCTTCCTCCGATTTGGACTAACGACATCGCGCTATAGAACATATGGTTATGGATAAAATGCATTCCCGGGCCCGAGGACCTCGCGCTGTGTTGACACGCCAGCCAACGGAAGGTCGATCTCGAGACGGCGGTCTGCGGCTGGGAGAGATGGAGCGTGACTGTCTTATTGGCTACGGCGCGACCCAGCTACTGCTTGAACGACTGATGATTTCGTCCGATGCATTCGAGATCAACGCGTGTCAGGAGTGCGGCTTATTGGGTTACAATGGCTGGTGTCCCCTCTGCAAGAGCTCCAAGCGGGTAGCTAAACTCACTATCCCATATGCGGCGAAGTTGCTCTTCCAGGAGGTGCGTGTTCTGTGCATCCGCCGTCCCTCCATCTGATCGGGGTTTACAGTTGATGGCTATGAACGTGGTGCCTAGACTGATCTTAGATGACGCATAGAAGATTTCTTGCTACAGATGCTGGTCACATGTACTAACGAAATACCCACATATTGTATCCCTATATCTTGTCCCAATGGAGTCAAAACCCAGATTAATGACATCAACATGTACGCTGCTTCTTATTTGACCATAGGTGAGGGCAAGAACTCAGATAGGTGGAAGAACGGGTGATTGGTCGCAGTCCATTCTGAATTTGGATAGTATATAACGCACTGTCTCTAGAGCAGATTTTGGCGACTCACAAAAGAAACCTTTATTACCCCGATCGCGTCACAGAACTATCTTTGGCATCTGCATACCCTTCTACAGTGAAGCTCAACCAGATTATAACCCCGTGCGTTATATGTCGTCTTCCTCGGACTCGTGTAACTCCTCGGTTCGCCTATAAGCTTCCTTGAGACTGTCCAGTGTGGCACCAAGGGAGCGAATCTCCTGCCGATCAAGTCCTTCTCCAAGACCTGCAAGCTGTCCTTCGTGCAGTAGTGATTGTAGTGACGTGGTATAGTAATCAAGAAATGATGATGTGTGAGAGGTTGTGTGCAACATAGACAGCAGCGGTACATTGTTCGAATGAGTTGCCAGAATAGGAGGGAATGAAGTCAAAATAGGATATTGTAGGGCAGAGCACGATCTGGCAAGTAGGGTGAACATTTGCGGAATACAACGGAATACACACACGAACAACTGCAAAAGAGGCTCTCGGATGCCTATGGACTGCTCGAGACGCTCTGTGAGGTTGACCCGTGTTTGTGGAGAGAGCAGCCCGCGGTATGTGGTGCAGGCCGAAAACGTAGGTGTATCCTTTAATGATTTAGCGAGATGAAATACAAGAAAACAGAGCGGCTGCACCGGAACTGAGGCATCGAGTACAGTCGAGAAATCATATATTTTGTTCGTGAACAGCGTATCGTATAAAGGCAAGGCGCCAGACAGGTGGGAAATTGGAGTGTCAGTATGGTAGTTCAGCAGGGATGTAAGAGAAGAGAGCGACGTAGGATTGGAATTGAGGCTGATATGCCATCAGTATTGATTCTCCTGCTGGATGACTCTCATACCGAAGGGAAAGAGTGGCGGATTCAATGTGAGCAGAGAGGAGGGCCGAGCTCTGATAAGCCTCTCCAAACTAGGATTGAGATGAGTGGAGGTAACGCCGTGCAAGTATTATAGGAACGTACATTAAGGTCCAAAGCCAGCTCAGTTGTCCATTGTCCCTTTGACCATGTCGCTGGGCACTGCAACGGGATGATCGTCGCTTCTGCTTCTGCTGACATGACCAACATCTTGCTTTCGGTTGAGAGACGACGGCGTTCGGCCAACTACCCATTCCATTAACGCGCGCGTGACAGTGTATGCAGAATATCTCACGTCGTAGGGGTTGAATTTTTCTTTGCGCTGAGATAAGGGCAAGAAGAGAAGAGCTGGTAGCTTTGGATACTCATCCCGAAATGTTTGCAATAGGGACGCGGAGAGCGAGGCAAAGGCGTCTGACGCAGAGGACGTCGCTTGGAGTCCTTGGAGCAAGTCGCACTCCTCCGCAAACAATCGAAAATCCTTATCCCAAAAGTCATTCTCCTGCTCGAGATATTACTGGCATGCATGATGAGCAGATATGTAGGGGCACGCACATGCTGTAAACGACCCCACGCGTCTTCTCCTTCGTCCCATTTGTTGCCAGTGCCAGTTAGGATGTACGACACCGGCCAGATCGAGCATGGATGGTAGTAGACGCTAGTGTAGTCAGCCCAAGTAGACGGATTATAGGTTCTTCTCGATTCGATCGTTTGGGAAGCTTTCGTGGTCTGCTCGTCGAGATCACATTGATACTGTGACTTGGGATGAAGAGGTTGCTGATATGAAACGCTCTGGCCTGTCCTAGTCGATCATTTAGAAGGATAATAATGGACGATATATCTCCCCTGACCAGCTTGCCGAGTCATTGGCCTCCTCCCCAGCAACACTTTCGTACATCGTGTTGTACTTAGGTATCGATCCAAAGACATCTCAGACTCGACTTAGTTCATGGTCTCGGTAACAAGCTATACGACCCACCTTTTGAGTCGAATATCAACACTCTGGGAAGGTACGTCGACACTCCCTAAGCCGTGAGGGTTCGATAAACATTTCATGAGACTTCAGGTAGGCTGTTCTTACATTCGTCCCCAGCCCCTCCCGGAAGGAGATATCATGGTTCACTTCGGGCGGCTTCCGTTCGTTAACCTCTTCAGGCTCTTCTTCCCAATCGAAGTAGCTCTCCTGGACATTCCAAAAGTGTTGTCCTATGTAGTTTGCGTATGTGCCAGACTGAACGTAGATGATCTCATGCATGGCCGTCTGTTGCAGGGTCTCCTCAGGCTCGGTAGTATCATGATAACATAGTAGGTGTGGGACGCGCGCGCAACGGAGGCAAAAGACCCTGCTTTTGCCAAATATAGCAATTTCTCCCAATTCTGAACATATGGGCTCACACCTAAGCACGGAGTTATGTTATAATATAATACAGTGAAAAATATGGTAATATCACCCTACCACTAGCCCTAACCCTAACCAACCCTAACCTTAACCAACCCTAACCTGCTAGATGGGTCCTAACCAGTACCCTAACCCTACACAGAGGCACAGGGGAGGAATTGCCTTTTTCGGAAATTACAGAGGTAAATTGCCCTGCTCTTTCCCTTTTAGGGGATTATGGACGCAATTTGCCTCCCTTGCGCGCGTCCTACACCTATGCATACTACTCCGAGTCATCTCGTGTGCGCTCGGGTGAACCCCACCGTCTTTCCTGCCACCACCTCGAGTGGTTTTACCGCATAGCCTGTTCACTCTCGCTGCTTCGTCCTCAGGAGGATTCTCGCATTACAGTCTTTGGCTGGTCGTCGATATACTATCACACATCGCCCGCCGTGACTCTCCTTCAAGTTTTGACGATGGCTTCGCCGAAAGTGGGAAGAGGGACAACGAATGGGATCTTAGTGGAGAAGAATTCTTCCCAGCTAATGTGGCACATCGCGGTTATGATTACTGCTTTTTTCCGTTCGGAAAGGAAGTCCGTGATGGCCAGTACATTGTGCTGCGCAAATTAGGGTGGGGTCTGTACGGAACTGTCTATTTGCTGGAAAACCTTGGGCACATCGGAGGTCTCATCTCTTCTGACTTTCACTAACATGGTACCAGAAGCGACGCTGACGTGAACCGATACCAAGCGTTGAAAGTCCTCCGGGCAGAACCAGTGTTGTACGATGTATTATACAAAGAAGTGGAAATCCTGAAGAGAGTGCGAGACGCTGATCCTACACATCCCGGCTACGAACACGTAGTACACCTCATCAACGATTTTCACGTCAATAGCGTATTTGGCACGCATATCGCCATGCTTTTCCCGGTCTTCGGCCAGACGCTGCAGCCATCCTGGACATCTATGCTACCCGTCCGTACACTGCGGGAGGTGATGAAACAACTGCTCCTCGCATTGGATTACCTCCACTCGAAATGTGGAGTGATCCACACCGGTGAGTAATATATATTACAGGTCATCGTGCTGTCTACATTTCTTCAGACATCAAGGGCTCGAACATCATGTTGCAAATTCAAGATACACATGCTATTAATAAGCAGATCGCATGTGAACCGGCGAGAGCGCTGGCCAACGTCTTTTTGAAGAATGAGATTAGGCAAGTTGTTGAAATCCCAATCAGCCAATCTCAGCCGATTTCAGTGCCTATCTTTGGGCGGAAGCTGAAGATCTGTCTCGCAGACTTCGGGACAGGTGCGCGTTGGAATAGCCAATGAGCTTGGATGCGTTAAACTAAACATATCTCTGACCAACAGCAGAGTGGGCAAGCAGTACCCATCAAACCGTCATTCTCGGCAAACTCCTCCGGCCCCCAGAAGTGGTCTTGAACGGGTGTTGGGATTGCACGGTGGACATTTGGGCCACCGGATGCTTTGTGAGAACCTTCCAAGTTGCATTCGTAACCCCGGGAATACTAAAAGTAGACAGATCGTGGAGATGCTTGACGGTTCTCCGCTTTTCCAGTGGAAAGTCACAAAGAATATTATCGGAGAGCAGCACTATCTCTCCACGGTGACTAAACAAGTTGGGCCTGTCCCTCTTGAACTCCAGAGTCGGTGCACCAGGTGGAGAGAATTCTTTAATGATAAAGGTGCGTACGCAACGATACACGTCTGCAGCGAAGATCTGACTCAGTACAAAAAAGTTCTCCTACGTCGCCCGACAACGAAGGTACCGAGTATAAGAGAGCGTTTGGTGGCGCGGCATTCGGAGATGTCGCCCCTAGCAGCAGACAGCCTGACTGCTCTGGTGCTCCAAATGATGCGACCCAATCCCGCCCACCGTTGCTCAGCGGCGGAAGCATTGCGTCACGAATGGTTCGATTTGGATCTGGAAGAAGGGGCTCGGGAAATTTCAGTGGGTATAGATGAGTTGTAACAGCACCGTACGCGGGGCCAGCCGGCGGCGGTCCTTCGTCATCAGACAGTAGCATCACTACTGGCTCAAGCAAATTGTGGGGTTGGCTATGTTCACGTCTCGGTGGTCATTATGTACATTACTTTGGAATCAGGGCTGATCGGTTATCCACAGATATGTGCAAGAGTTCCACGCGCCATACAACTCAGAGCAGATAATGACATCGAAGGACGGCCCAATTGACACCCACGTTCTGCATTGATCGACTCGGTGTCAAATTGTAGTAGAGGGGTATTGTTGGACAACTTTGGAATAGACGACGGACAACTCAGGCAGCTCGAGCTACGTTATGAGACCACGGTACTGTCACAAGACCATGATTCTTCCCTCACTAGTATCATCCAAAGCAACTAGTGATATTATTCTAATCCTGACCGATCAAGAGCAGATCGCCCCATCGCGCTTGAAAGGCAACTCATTTTCGGAACAAGGTGCGATCATAACCAACCACATCGAGCCGTTCACGAGTCGTTAGCCGCTGTCCATATCTTCGAATATGAAGCTTGCGGGGCAGTTGGGTAATGCATCAGCTCGCAAAGTAATTGACTTCGGTATAGCGTACACCAGCAAAGTAACTAGACAGAACTGTCCCCATAGACGGTAAATTGAAAAAGAAGGCTCTCGTATCCTGCTCGAGGCACAATACTGCACCTGAAGGACTTCACCCTGCTTGTCGTCCCGGTCGTGAATTCCAACAATGGCTCGATCATTTCACCTTGCACATCAATAGCCATTCCAATGTTAAACAGCGTTAAGGTGCAAGCAATTGAGATATAGAGCATTGCTTCGGCGAGATGTTGCCCTGAGTACACAATCAGAATTGCTTACAACGGGATATTAGACCCTACCGGGACAGACTCTCCTGCCGAAACCCCACACCCATCTAGTAGGATCCTGTTGCACTGTTCGACCACCAACACCAGAGAACCTGTCAGGATCGAACACGAGCGGATCGGGATACATGGTCTCGTCGTGCATGAGAGCCCTACCCTCACAGTCAGTGAAGAGTTTGAAAACGTTTCATGTCGGGCATGCCATATATTTGCCTGAACCACCGTCCCAGCAGGTATGCCATATCCATTATATACGTCGTCCTGCGTAAGCGAATGAGGCAAGCTGAGTGGTCCTGGCGGGCACCAGCGGAAAATCTCTTTCAACACGCAGTTTACGTAAGGCAGAGACCCGCGGTCTTCCATTGTCGGCAGACGGTCAGCCCCGACTGCTGTGAAGATCTCTGCCTGAGCCCGACGTTGAACCTCAGGATGAGTTGTCATAATGTAGAAAAACGAAATCATAGCAGAGACAGTGGTATCTGCAGCGCCAACAAACATTGAGCCTGCAACGTTGAGCAGGATATCTTCGTAATGGTCATCTGACGCTTGTTCTCCTTTCGACGCGAGTTGTCTTGAGACAAATGAGGATATAGCAACACCTGCAGCCTACAAAGGGAGTGATTAGAGAAAGAGTTTTGGATACGGGAAGCGTATCGACCATCTGGGCTTTGACCCAATCCAGAGGCCCTTGATAGGCGCCGTGCATCTGCTCACGATAATATCGCGCTTTTTTCTTGAAGTTGGCTCCAGGAAACCACTCCGGCAAGAATCGTACTAGGAATGGTTGAAATGGTATTGCGTATTAAAGAAAAAAATGGCGTCCTTACAAATTGGGAAAGAGTCCACTAGCCACCGTCCGGGAGTAGTGATAATGTAGCCATTGATAAAGGCTTCTTCAACAGCAGCCACGAAAGGATCGTCCCTCGCCTTGATCTTATATCCATATGCAATTTTCATAATGACGGAGGCGGCATTGCTGGAGAAGAAGATATGGTCACCAAGTAGGACTCAGGGTACGGAATAGACCTTGCCTGCGAATGTGTGCCTCGAACTGTTCTGGGCTCGCGAGCAAATTCCCCAGGAAGATTTTCACTTCTTCTTGTTGTACAGGCCAAATATCTCTCATCGGGCGAGATCCAAGAGTATCATGCAGCATTTTGCGATAGATTCTAAAACGCGGGTCGGCGAAGGGCACAAAAAAGGGACTTCGTTGTCGGTTGACCAGCTTGGTATTCATCGTCGTCATCGGTCGATCCGAGTAGATATTAGCTCGTTTCTCGAGCAGATCAGTAACGGTCTTGACATCGTTAAGGACAACGACATGGGTTCCTCCCAAGAAATTGAGATGGATGATAGGACCTGTCGATGAATCAGGGGAAGGCTTGCCACAGCTCGTATTGCAAACATACCATAAATGCCTTTCCAGGCTGCGTAGGTCCGCCATTGTTGCTCCTTGGGAACATCATGTAGATTTCCAATGAACCATTTGCCTTGAGGACCAGGCGGATAATGGATCCTACGAGCAGTGCATGTCCAGTAGACAACGAGAGCAAGGGCAACAGCAGCCAGAGCAATCCATGACGGTGAGAATGTGGCAACGAACATAGCAGAAACTGGGTATCGAACGCGGCGAGTTGTCAGTATACAACAGACTATATACCCAGTCGTTCCGTACCAAGACCAGTAAAGAACAATGAGATCACTTTGACAGAGTGTAACCCGTGCCTGGAGTGTGGCTTTCTTCGGGAACGGAGGTCGCGCCTGCTACTACCAGACTCTCCCTGCTTTTATCTTCCCGCAGTCTCCAAGACTTCAGTGGGGAAGTTCGGCAGAGACACATTGCTATGTATGATCAAAGCCACGATAGAGAAGCACAGGCGTGTGAAGTAAGTTCGCGAGACAGGGGCACGGATGTAGTCCGATTCCGATACAGCGTCTTCGTTGCTTCCATTCACCAGAAGAAAAAACCCTTACAGTAAAAGCTCTGCATACGATTCCTGCTTCACGTAGCAGTCAAACCGGAAATAGAAGCATATTCGGACCATCACTCTAGTTTCAAAGAACCTCGTAACGAGTACAAGACACGCATACATGTAGCCTTGGTAAGTTCTCTCGATGTTGGTTGCCTGCTAAGAAGGCAGGAAGACGAGTCTGTATTTCCATTGGGCAAATATATCAGCGGTGACTGCAATATCATCGGTCCGAACCGTAACTTTTGCTTACCACTGCGTGCATGACTACCCTACCACGATCTGCATTCGTGCCTCTCGGTAATGGCTTAGAGACCAACGACAAATGCTCCTCAAGGTCTCGGTGTCGTGCAATTGTTCTGCGAGTTCTCGATCACGTCTAGGTCCAAGCCAGTGTTCGTTCACCCAAGCCAATGGGAGGATGATCGTGAAGCCCATACTGATATATCCCAGAGAGGAACAACGTGTGCCCATCAAAGTCAACCAGCGACTTCAGTAGCTCAGAGTAATCTGAGCCCGTATGAGTGCCATGTTTCAGTGTAAATCTCAGACGTTCATGACCCAAATGCTGTACATTGCCCGTGAGATTCACACCGGCTCATCCACAGCAACACTCAAAGTACACTCAAAGGACACTCAAAGGACACTCAAAGGACACTCAAAGGACACCGAAAGTCTCGGTGTCAAATCTCGGTGTCGTTTCGGATCTCGTTAAGAACAAAGCTGGTATAGACAGGGTACGAGCAGCTTTCATCTAGAAACCTTTTCTACTGCTCAGTACTTTCACGTCTCTTCCCCGCGCGTCCCCTTTTGGTTGGCGCATTCGAATGATTTTGTGAGTCCTAATAAGTCTCAGTTAGTTATCGTATCGACACAGTGGAGTACGTACTTTTCTTTGACATAACGCTGCGCTCGCGCCGAGCTCTTCTTCAAACTGCTTTTCGGAGCATCTTCATTTTGCACGGCCCCCATTCCCTCCCCTTCACCCAAGAAACGACGCTTCTTCACACGACGTCCGAGGTCCATTTCAGATCTGTTATGAGCAGGTTCAGCTCTGGCTCAATGTACAATACGAACGTACGGGTCTGCCCCACCCAGCATCCTTCGAGCATCGGATAGCGTCGATAAGCCAGCCAGACCAGTGTGTTGTATTAATGGCGTGAACTTAGGTTTGCTGAAGACAACCTCCTCGCAGGTCTCAACCATGTTGTCGTTCGACCCTGTGTCGATCGGTTGTTCTGCGTCGCTTGACGGCGTGAAGCACGCTGGGCAGTCATCGGGAGGTGGTCCTTCAAAGTCTGGCAGTGAAGGATATGTAATACCACCAGTGCGGCTGATTGGCAGTGACTGGGATTCTGCTTCAGCTGACTTCGCAATGAACACATCCTCTTCGTGTATGTCGATATCCTCGTCGTTGAGCAGTTCGTCTTCTGCCGATATGGTTAGATGTTCTATGCAGCACATGAATGAAGAGCGAACCAATGTAAGCAAAGGGATGTCATACCTAGGTTATTGTCATCCCCATACCATGCTTCCGTGTTATGCCTTAGCAAGCCGGCGCCAAAAAAGCTGTAGTTTGCCCCAATTGCAAGTTGCTGCTCACGTACGTATCCGTAAGCTTCAATCAAAGCAATGAAACTGCAAGTTTTGATATCGTTCGAGTGAACACCAGGGGGAAGCCTTCCGGGTGCTTCTGCTGGGAGATCGCAGGAGCTGATATCCCCCATATCTTCGTCCTCTACTAATCTGTCAGTCCTCGGATCCTAAACATCTCACAACGACGTACCCCAAACAGCCTCCATCCACCCTAGCATCATTGTTCTGTAATCAGTCTCAGTCCAATCCCTTTGAGCCTCAGGTAAACATGGAATTCCGTATGCCCTGCGAGTGAGTGGTAGTCATCGGCCGTATGACCTCTCCTCTCCTACTGTGTAGAAGTCAGCGATTTCGCATTGACGCAGTTTCTGGAACGGACACACCGAACGCATTTACGAATTCGATCCATGGCCGCTTGACATGTCCCTCCCAGTTCTCGTGATACTCTTGAAAGCGAAGGTTCGTCTCGCAGGTTTCACCTTCTCCGACCCTGTCGATCCAGTCAGCACAGCACCGTACTGGATGTGTCTGCTTACACTAAGGTGCCCAGTCCTTTCCCGAACTGACGTCCCCCACTGAGCAGTAGAAAGGTCCACCCCGTCTTCTCCTTTAAGGACCTGATAAATGATGCTGCGGTTCGAGGTAACTTCAGAATGTTTCTGCAGCGCAAGCTGGTTAGTCGTCGTCAACGCGCGAAAGGAAACTAATCACGTACTTTTGTTTTTCCCTTTCGGACAGGCTGCATTCCGTATTGACTCCTTCGGCTCTCTCAGCGCGCGCAGCTGCCATAAACACGTCCTTGGTGGTATCTGGTAGATCTTCCCAGAGCTGTTTGGTTACGATCGATCTCGCGCCAAGCGAATGCTTGTTCAGTTCTTCTGCTTTGGCTCTTACCAGCGATGGGATATCGTCCCTCTGAGCCGCCATCAGTTCCCGAGCTCGCATTGCAGTGGGCTGGTGACGCGGAGATTTCATTTCGAGCTTAATTGTCTGCTGTCCCCTCATTCGCTTGTGGTTCTTGAACCAAGTATCAATTTTCTGCACAATTTGTTAGCGATTCCTAGAACTGACGATGTTACAGCATCACATACGGTTCTCAATGCCTTCCAGAGATCTGCCGGGATCTCTGCTTCCAGGGCAAAGTAATCAGGGAAGGCAGCAAGAAACGCGGTGGCTTGGGCCTTGGTGAACTGCAGCGGCTCTCCTCGACGACCATCGCAGCTCGACACATATGCAGGAAGTCTCTCTTTCAGCCAGTCTATTTGATGGCTGGAAAATCGTGGAATATTGACTGCAGCAGCACCCATGTGTTGACGAGCGAGAGTGGTATAGTACGAGCCAGTCGATGAGGCGGGGGAGACGACGATAGGACAGACGTGAAGACGACCGGGGGGTGAAGAGTTGTAGTTCAACCAAGATGGCTTCTCTAGGTCTGATCCACACTCGCTCCATTAGCATGACGAGAAAAAAAAACTTGGAGACGGGCAAAGATGCTCCTCCTTTGGGTATCACACAGCTTCGATTCAGGTGTCCGTCGTTATCCAGAGATCGCCGAGATAAGAACCATAAGCCTAAGATTCCTCAGGGTACATTGATGACAGTATCCAGTTAGCAACCTTTTAGCTTAGCACTGCCAAGAAGGATGCATAGAGTTGACGATACATGGCGGTAGGAAATTGGATCAAGGTACCATGGAAGAAAAAGGAAGAGAAGTAGTAGTATACCCCCGGGATGTAGGACCCCGATTGCGAGGTTGAACACATATTTCTTTAATTGCTTTCCGGAGGAAATATATCTAGGTAATAGAAGAAGACGGGAGGTACATGTATCTAATGAATATAAGAAGGCAGGTAGTAAATCTATCTAAGCAATGGAAGAAGGCAGCAGTTGAATGCCCATGGTAAGATGAAGCTGGCAATCTAGTCGCTTGTCAAGTCAATGACATCGTCCTCGCGATTGGCCTCTTCCTCCTGTGAATTGGCGTGCACACGCTGAATGACTACGGAGGCCACTGCCGTCATCAGAGGACCCGTCGGTTGCACAGGCCTGAGGATGGACATGTTTTCTCGCCCTCTACGTTGTTCCGAATTTTGCAGACCTGTGCAGTCTGTCAGAGTAGGCAGGGGACCTTTTGATGGACCACTTACGCCCAGCACCACTGCTAACATCATGTACTGTGAGCAATGTGGAAAAAAAGTCAGCCCAATCCGGCGTCCGGCTGCTTCCAACGAGTGTGCAGTTAAAAAGAAGCAAACACCCGGACCACAGCCGGTGCTCCACCTGTGGCGTTGTGAGCTCCCAGCTCCTTTCGTGACTGACGTATTTCCAAAATCGCACGTTGCCATGCTCATAATGGGAGAGCAGCATTCTATTTTGTCGTGCAAGCAGGTCGAGTAAAAACACATGTGATTGCGTTGAGTCCCAGTGAATCTTCCAGGGGAGTATGTCATGCTGAGCAGGAGTATGAGTACACATTCGAGGGATGAACTCAGAGCTACATATCACCAACCCAGGTCCAAATATAGATCACTACAACTCCCTCATGATGATCCTCTTCGATATGCATGTCTCTGCCATGACCAGTATGGCCTGGGGGTGCATCATTCAGAGCATCCGTACTCCACATAGGAATAGGGGAAGGGGGAGATGTAGCTCGGCTAATGGTCTCCAAGACGTGGGTTAGCTCAATCAAGGAAGATCTTGATGGTGGTGGAGATGAAGGTGGAGAGGACAGCAGCAGGGGAGGACTGGCACCATGCATCATAGATACCGAGTTTCCGTAAGACCTTTCCCTCCCAATATCAACGGCTTGCGCGGTCGGGTTCTGGCTCGGATGCCCTGGTCGAGAGCACGGACCAGGACAGCAGTGAATGCATCGAATGTATGGACAACCCGATCGATTGGCCAGTCTTCCACATCCATTTGTACATGGGAGATGTTGTCTAGGTGGTCTTGCTATTGTCTGCCGGGGCTGGTAGCCACTTCTTGTGCGTGGGCTTGATCTTCCATGAGATGGGCTTAGATTCATTATGAAGCAGTAGAAGTGCCGATTATAGCACTTTTACAACGTCAAATTGATGTGCCTTACAATGTAATGGGACTCACTGAGTGATATCGCTTTCCTGGGTTTCTTGGACTTGCAGATATCTTGACTGCAGGATTGATAAGAGCTTCACAGTCCGGGTGTCTACAAACTGCTGTTCGACGAGGCGGTCCATAGGCAATACCAGACATGGGTGCCAATTCGTGACGTTGCTGAAGCTGTTTGGTGGAAGCACATCGACCCTTTTATGTGATGCCTCGATGGCCACAGGAAAGCACCAGACGCTCCTAGATGTGAACTGAACCCAAAACGCACTCCAGAATTCAAGAGTGAGAATACTACGTACGAACGGGGTCCTCTTCCACAAGTACATGAGAATCCAGCCTCTTCCACAAAGTCGTTCGTTGCCCATGGAGATTGATAGATCGTCCTATCAACGGTTTTTTTTGCAAGTGAAAATGGATCCAAGCTGATCAAGTTTCAGAACACCATTTAGAGAACAATACCAAAGCAATTTTACGTACTCACTATGTCAGACAGCCGCAGTTGAAAGATGTTCGAATATAGAAACAGAGGTGACATCCGCCAGTCCGGTCCATCCTGTCCGCTGATATTGTATCCCGCAGTTACAGAGAGAGTCGCCCAGTATATTTCACATGTTGATGTTTCGATCTTAGAACCAGCAAGAACATCAAGGCCTATTCAAACAGGAGTAGCAAGAGCGAACAGTACGATTCAAGGGAACTATTGGTGGAATCATATTGGGGGAATTCCCCCAATACGCAACGCTTGGGAGGCGGTGCAACGCCCACTAAGGGCCCTGCCTCGTGCAACTCGCCCATCGATCCCTCATCTTAGCCACCACCTTACCAGCACATCTTTCTTCTACATTCAGCTCTGCAAGTTCTTTTGTAACAATATTGTTGCAATCCAGCAAAATTAAGGCGCCTGATGATAGACTAAGTGAGGTACGAGCTCATTTTCCTGGCAATGCTTCTCATTCATGCTGTGCACTGGGTGACAGGAAGCATTTTCATCTGAGAATACCTCCTTCATATCCAAGAATCCCGTCTTATTACTGATCCGAATACCGGACGATCATCAATTACTTTCCCAGAAGCGGCAGATCCATCAAGGCCCGATTCCATATAACTACCACATTTCAATGCAGTTCGACAGTGCACGATCTCGATCTTTACCTCCTGCCTTTGATGGTGACCGGGTTCCGTTCTCCGAAGTCGACGACGGGCCCCATTCATGTCATGCTTTCTGTGCGTCGCCCCGGAAACTCAATTTCTCAGGTCCGCAATGGTCGGGAATGATGTCCGTGCTGGCCGAATTGGCAAAGGGGCCGCTTGACTCTGGCACGTTGGAGCGTCTTCGCACGGTGGTTCGACTTTTGGAGGAAAATTCTAGGCGACACCCTGAAAATCATGATTCCAGTAGGGCTCCAGACCACCGTACCCAACACAGCTGGCAGACTAGGATGATTACGACCGGAGCCGCCCGCACACATGGCTTTGGGGCTCAAACTGAGCCAAGTGCGGAATTGTCTCGGCCAGGGTAAGCCGTTTGTATATTCACTCGGTACTGTTTGATCGATCTCGTCAATGTTATACTGTAGGTCTTCTAACTCTTCTGTCACATCATTATTTGAGGAAGGCGAATTCTCCAGTCTTACTGACGATGAGCTATCGGATGCCGCTCCACCTTCCGAGCCACCCGAAGCGTACTCTCCGCCTCACTTCCAACCTGCCTCACCCGTCCCTTCGGAGGCTTCTTCAGCTCCTTCGGTAGCGCCATCGTCATATCTATCACCACCGCGAAATGGCCGCAAACGAAAATATGGAACGGAGGGCGAAGATGCGCCTGTGGCTAGGCGCCGAAAGCTTAGTGCAGATCCTCTCAATCCAGCTGTCATGGTGTCAGAGATCCAGTATACCGTGGAAAGACCCCCAAACTCTACTCGGATGATCCGAACTCCCGCGCAGCACTTTATTTGGATGCTTTCCCATCTTGGATTACCATCTGGGCGTGATAAGTTGAAGAAGCTCTTCACCTCGTCTCTTGTGAAAGGGTTGAGCGCAGAAGAATTTCGAGGCACGAACATAGAATATGTCGATGCTGTGGCCGCAATCTCATCCGTTATTCACCACGATAACTGCTGTCATCTGTTGACGTGGAGACGGTGGATGGCGTGTATGGCGCTTAACAGCAAGGTGTCAAAGTAGCAAATATGTTCGCCCTTGCTATGACTTGCCACTCACTCGGTTCCTTGCGTAGAACGATGTCGCCAAACGGCGTAACCCTTCCTCAGTACTACGAGGAGCGTGTATGTCAAAGCTCGTCTTCTGATGGGCACACAATGTCCTACAAACAGTTCGACCGTTACAATCGGGAAGGATCCCATCTAGCGCGCATTGCTCGCTCCGGTAAGTGTGGGAGCGCATCACGTACACAGTCGCTGATTTGCTCTCATAGGTGGCCTACACACCCTCCTCTTGATATTAGCTTTTGGTCTTGTTGCTGAATTACGCAAGATGAGCGGCTTCGAGTTGGATATTATAGCAGCAGGCCTGACGGATCCCTCCACACTCTCGGGTATGTCTACCATTTCTTTCTAACTGCCAAATGTGACAAACGGACTGATCGCACTTTGTAGATGCTAATTCAAATGAAAAGGAGATGAAGCAGCTGCTTCTGTGGAATGTGCTCCCAGGCCTCGCATGGCTTCGGTCCTTTGTTCCTTTGCGAGCCTTTTCCCGCGATTTCGGCGTGGATTTGGCCAGCGACGCTGACTGGTTCGACGTCCACTTCAGGCAGGACGTTCGAAGTAAAGGCGCTGAAGGGAGCATGGGTACACAGGTTGCGTAGGGCTGCAGGGAGGTGGAGATTCATTATGTGAGTTCTTCCCGACATGCGCTGTGGTCTCCCTGACAGATAGTGCAGGTACATGTATTGATAACCTGGGTCTACAAAATTTGGAAAATTCAAATGCTATTCCTCCGCACTCTAATTCGGGACTTCCCTGACTTTCTCGACATCTCCCATTGGAGAAGAGATGCAGAGTCCGCTTGCATTTAAGTGTTGGGGCCTGCCCCCACTCAGCATAATCGATTTCACCCTCGATATGCTCTGCCGGATGGTCTTTTGGCACTTCGTCAGTAGGCGCCAGGTGAAGATCGAGGTCAGGACCCTCGGGTGTACAGCCCCTAAAATTGAGGGGCGCAAGACACTCTCACGCAGTCGACGGGTCTCCGTCGCTCATCCTCTACACCAGCTGTGTGCAGTCTCAAGCTGTGCTCGAATCTCGATCTTTAATCTTGATTCTTATCTATCGACAAGATGAGCCACCGCAATCCACCTGAGAGCTCCAACAATTGCGCGACCAACACCAACCCTGAAGCCACCGCTTCGTCGGCTCTTCCTCACCCTGGCAAGAGGAGCATAGATCTGCAGTCACCTTTCGATAAGCCTCGGCAGAGATTGTGCTTGCTATCTTTGAGCATTGTCTGTCCGACACACCCGATGTAGAACGCAAGAATCAGCTATGCAACATTACCCTAGTCTGCCGCCGCTTTCAAGCACTCGCTTATACCAACAATTCGCTTTGGAGGTCCATAGAGCTGCAGGTGGGATACTGCTGGGTGTTCAAGGGCTGCGGGGAAGGGATATGGTTCTTGGAGAGTGACCTTCAGATGCACGATCACGACGAAGCGGTGGTGACTGCAGACGCGTCAGAAGGCAGCGTGGCGTCTTTGAACGACAACGACGCGTCGACCTACGGAACACTCCCCAGCGATGACCTCCCGGATGAAGATACTCTCGCAGAGTTAGTCGAGCAAGCTGTTTCCTTGTCCGGTGATACAACCATGGTTGAGACGACCTCTCACGATGTCACTCACGGCGCCTGGACTCGAAGCACCTTGGAGCATCACTTGAAGCACTGCGGCTCGGAAGGCACCATTCGACTCCATCTCAATCTCACTGTCTTGACTGAATCGATGAATATGCGTGACGCTATGTTCGACCAGTTACGCGACTTGATCGATTATTGGCATCACGTACGCGCACTGCGTATGAATATCGACGACTGGGCGATCGGGCCCCTCGAAACCAGCAACTACATTAATGCCGAGCTTCCTCTCCGGTCTCTTAGTGTGCAAGACCTTTTGCGTCACAGCGAGCGCATAGTCGTGCGGGTTGTAGATGCTGTCCAGTTGCATACAATCAAACTTGCGCGCGCCAGCATCCAACTTGTCACCGTCGAAAGCAAGCCTGTAAACTTGGCTGGATTGGAGAAGGTTGCCCTGATGGATGCTGAGCTGTTCTGTATCTCGGCCGAGGCGCACGGTAAACATGCAGAAGCCCCACGAAAGATCATGTCTCCGATAGAACGTACTCGTTTTTCTCTGGCGTGCGTATCGTCCGTGCAACACCTCGTCCTCCAAAAATCGAACATCGTGGAAGGAATGCAAGCAGTCGAATTCCTGAGGCTACAGTCATTGAAGATCAATGACCGTCCTCTGCAGATTCTATATCTTGTGCGCGCTCTCAACATGCCGTACCTGCAGAAATGTTTCTTGCTATTTCCGAACTGTATCAGCTTTTAATACGACAATGTGGACCTGGATGCACAGCAGGCGTCCCTTATCCACCTTGCAAACGCGAACGGATCAAGTCTTCGGCACCTTATTATCAAGCATGCCTATCGCACGAATGACGCTTGGAACAGCGTGTTGACGAGACTTCGTGGAATCGAGTCTCTGGCATTGTTTGCTGGTGCCTTAGACAACAAATTCATCGACCTGTTCCGTTCGGGGGGGACACTCCCCGTGCTGAAGGACCTCATACTCGATGCATGCATCCCATTCTTCCATCCTCGTGCCGATCCCTTCAATGGCAATCATTTTTATCCATTCAGCGCCAAACGAATCGCTTCGATGGCCAATCAAAGATCCGGAGAGGGAAATGGACTGATTTCGATCCGCTTTGCTTTGGGCTGGCCGAGGGAACTTTCAAAGAAGATCAAGCAGGTGTTGATGAGGACTGTGCAGTCCCGTGATCTAACCCTCTCAAGCTGGATAAACCCCTGCCCAGAGCTCGAGGAGTTGGAGCGAGACATGAAAATGCGGTAATGAACTCGAACGCTATCACTGCCTTCATGCTGTATCAGACGATACTCGGTCAACGCGTGCCTGGAGCTCGTAGAGATGGAGGAAGAAGTGACATTCCGGTAAGAATTCGAATGCTATTTCTGTATCTACAATGTCCCAGATCATATCTTCCCTTGTCATTATGAAAATAGATATGATGTATAGAAGTATCTGTAACACTAGTACAGTAGGAAGAGATAAATCAAATGTGTCCTACTGCTGCATACTGTCCGACATATTGATCGTCAGCTTGTGTCTGAACCCTGAGCTTTTGAACTTCGCTCATCCCACTTCATCCCCACTTGAACGACGTGCTCGACGTGCTCTCATCAGTATTATTTTCTACTGTACTCATCAAAACTTCCTTCAGATATAAATTACACGATATCATCTTATTCGGCACTGTCTACAACATCACCAATGGCTGGGAAGCGCAAGAGGGAAGCAGCAACTCCTACCATTGAGGATGGTGCATTGGGTCGATGGGTTCGTACAGTGGAGGTCGGTACGAGACAGAAAGCGCAATACATCAAGTTACCTGCGCCCCAAAAACAAAATTGGAATATACCGATGAATCCCATGGTAGAGAGTAAGCAGGAGGAGGAGGAGGAACAAGACCAACTGCAGGTGTGCACCGTCTGTGCCCAAAGTCTGATTCGCTCTAACTTACGTTCAGGAGCCTTCCACATCAATGCCTGCTCTAGGAGAGTTCTCGAAACTTGAGAAACTCTTTGAGGATGAGCTTCTTAGGAGAGAAGGACCTTTCAAGCCGGGAGAGCGGTGCCGTGACTGTCTGCAAGGTTCAGCGGTGAGCCGATGCACCGACTGTTTTGGGCGACAGGGCTTCTGCGATGCGTGTATAGTTCAAGCACACAAAGCTCTACCGTTCCATCGGATACAGAAGTGGAACGGTCTTTTTTTCGAACGAGTTACGTTGACAAAGCTCGGTGCTATTCTGGCGTTCTGCCAATGCTGCGGCAGCAACTGCAACAGAAGAAAAATTACCGTCGTTCATACCAATGGCCTGCACGAGGTGGAAATCGGTCTTTGCGCAGGTGCTTCTGCTTCACCCCACTTCATACAGCTACTGCAACATGATATGTTTCCCGCAACTATCAAAAGCCCGGTTACGGCTGTCACCTTCGACTGCTTGCGCGATTTTCACCAACACAGTCTTTGTTCCAAAAAATCTGCCTATGACTACGTCACGAAACTCGCCCGAAGCACAGACAATGTCGTCCCAATGAGCACGAGGGACCGGTATCGGGAGTTCATGTTCTGTGCTCGGTTGTGGCGCCGGCTGCAGCTATCGAAAAGAAGCGGACAGGCGCATCGGCTTGAGGATGTCATTCCTCCCGAGTGCAAGAGCGTGCTGCTGGATTCAGGACCAATTTGCTCACGCTGTCCTGCGTGTCCTCTGCCGGGCGTGAATATTACACAGATGGAGCTTCAGGAAAACGTCACCAGGAATAAAC